TCTACCACTTGAGCCACAGCGCCACTTCCGGCTTTATTCTTTTTGCTTATGTGGTGCTGAGGAATCGAACCCAGGGCCTCATGCATGCAAGGCAAGCACTCTACCACTGAACCACTTTCCCAGCCCTAATTATATTTTTTGAAATGCACACTAAAAATTCAGTTAATCTTTATAAGAGGGATAGATAGTAGTATGAAATGGGAGTTCCACCTTCACTGGTGTTTTGTTGTTGTTGTTGTTGTTTGTTTTTATCAGTTGTGGGGCTTGAACTCTGGGCCTGAGCAACTTCTCTCAGCTCTTCAGCTCAAGGCAAGTGCTCTACCTCTTGAGCCACAGCACCACTTCTGGTTTTCTGGTGGTTAACTGGAGATAAGAGAATCACAGACTTTCCTGCCCAGGCGGGCTTTGAGCTGTGATCCTCAGATCTCAGCTTCCTGAGTAGCTAGAATTACAGGTGTGAGCCACCAGCACCCGGCCCCTGGTGTTTTTAATATTCTTGATTTCAGCTTTCTTGATAAGTTCCCAGTGAATATTAACTATATGTTTCATTATTTCTATCTTGTTTTATTTTTCTTTTGTATATATCGTATGGAACCTAACAAGTCAAATATTTGAATATAAATAATAAAATCATAAAAGTACTAGAAGAAACCATAGGATAGTACAAAATGTATCATTAAATAAACTTATAAAATTAAAAATATATAGGATTTTTTTAGCTCAGAGTATTTGAGAGACTGAAAGACTGAGAGTCTTTAACTCCCATTTCCTGCAGAAAATGTTTCTCTTCATTTCTCCCTATTTTACCTGTCATACTAAAATAAACCCTTGCTAGAACTAAAAATAAAATAAAATAAAATTGAGAAACGGGGCAAATTTCATCATAAGCAACAATCAACCAGAAAAAAAGTATGTGCAACTCATGACAAAAGACTAATTTCTTTCATAGATACTTCTTCAAGTCACTAAGAAAAATGCAGTCTTTTATGGAAGAATAAGTACAGGATCTGAACACAGTTCAGGGAGAATGAAACACAAACAACCTTAAACACACAAGAATGGGCTACCCTTGCTCAGATAATAGAAACAAAAGTCAAGGAGATACTCCTGTTTCATTACATGATGGAAAAAGAAGGGAAAAGCTATGATGGCCACTGCTTGTTGCAGTCATTTATCAACCCTGAGCATTTGCTTTCATTCTTTGAAGCTTTTGCTCCTGGATCATAATGGATACAGATAGATAGATAGATAGATAGATAGATAGATAGATAGATAGATAGATAGATAGATGTATATCTCACTACATATACTCCCTTTTCCCAGAGTTTGAACTTAGGATGCCACTCTTGCTTGGCTTGCTTGCTTGCCTAGAACTTGAGCCATGCCACCAGCCTAGTTTTGTGCTGGTTAGTTGGATCTAGAGTCTCCAATTTTTCTACCTTATTAGCTTTGAAATGTGATCCTCTGGATCTCAACTTCCTGAGTAGCTAGGATTACAAGCATGAGCCCAATTTATATATACTCTTTCCTGAATGCTGATCTTGTTATAATGCTTAATGATTTCAATATTGATATAAATAGATAATTCTTCAAACACCCTCTCATCTCAATTCCTTGAACACCTTTTCTCCACTATCCTTATCCCCCCATTTCTCTTGGCCACATAATACCCATAAAGACAACCTCCGAATATTTCACCTACAGCAAGTCTACTCTCCACCCCCTTTATAACTTCCAGCTCAACCCCTGTGTAGATCCTCAACTTCAACAATTCTTAGGCTGCATAGAAACTATGTTGTTTCCCTCCCATACTCCTCCCCTTAGTAAGCTCTCCTCTCCTGTTCCTTTGGGTAAATATTGCTGTGCAAATGTTTTCCATTCTCTTACCCTCTCAGGTTTCCTAATGCTCACCTGAAAAACCCCTAAGTCAGCTTTCATGAGACCATCCACCTGTCCTGTACCTGCACTTGTGCAGCCCAATATAAACAAAGAAAATTCCTACTGAATGTATGACCACAATCCTCAGACAGGCACTTAATGTTGCTTGACAATCTTGTGGTATTTCCCCAGTCCATTCATCCTCCTGTACAGCTATTTCATGTCCTCTAGTATTTCTCCCCATCCTCCTCAACGACTGCCCTTTCTTCTGAATTCACTGAGAAAATCAAGCACTCATAGAAAGATGTCAATGAACTCCCACACTGGGTATTTACCCAACTTCCAAGTTCTAGGTTCTCCATCTTCCCTGGTATTTCTATGGATGAACTGTCTGTGCTCCCAGCTAAAACCAAGGTGTGTGCCTGAGCTCTAGATCCCATTGATTAGGTCACCAGAAAGACATTGCTTTCACAAACCTTCCTTCTTTCCTTCTCTGTATCCTCATTCCCCCTTCCTTATTGGGTGCTCCTCATCAACCAAAGAACTAGCTATATATCTTTCTTTTTTTTTTTTTTTTTTGGGTCCGGTCGTGGGGCCTGAACTCTGGGCCTGGGCACTGTCCCTCAGCTCTTCAGCTCAAGGCTAGCACTCTACCACTTGAGCCACAGCGCCACTTCCGGCTTTTTTCTTTTTGCTTATGTGGTGCTGAGGAATCGAACCCAGGGCCTCGAGCATGCAAGGCAAGCGCTCTACCACTGAGCCAACTTCCCAGCCCTATCTTTCTTGCTCTTACATCGTGCTCCTAGAACCCTTGGATCCCTTCAAATCAAAGTATAAAATTGGAAAGAGGTAGCTGGGTGCTGGTGGCTCACGAATGTAATCCTAGCTACTCAGGAGGCTGAGATCTGAGGATCACGGTTCAAAGCCAGCCCGGGCAGGAAACTCGTGAGACTCTTATCTCTAATAAACCACTAGAAAACCAGAAGCGGCCCTATGGCTCAAGTGGTAGAGTGCTCACCTTGAGCTGAAGAGCACAGGGACAGTGCCCAAGCCCAGAGTTCAAGCCCCACAACAGACCAAAAAAAAATATATATATACATAATGTTATATATTTATATATATATATATATAACACATTATGTATATATATTACATATATATATATATATATATATATATATATATATATATATATATATATATATATATATATATATATAATTGGAAAGAGGTCCCCTGTGTGCTGTTTCTAAATTCTCTTCTTGCATTTTCTCTTAGACACCATCCTAGCAGACTCTTGCCCTTCCATCCACTGAAATGCTTCTGCTGAGCCATTCTTCTCACCAATACCCTCCACAGTGCTAAATCTACTGGTCAGTTCTGCGTCTTTCTACCATGCAGTCGCCTACTCTTCTGTCTAGAAACATCTCCTCTGTGAGTGCCAAGGGCTCAGTGATGTTCTGCTTTCCCACTTTATTACTTGCAATTTCTGCTCATTCTCCTTTGCTGGTCCACATCTGCATCGTCTCTAAACACGTGGCACCCCAGGATTCAATTCTCAGACCTCCTCTGTTTTCGATCAGCATTCATTCCTTGGATGATCTTATTCCTTCAAATTTCTATCCACAAGAAGTGGCACGGTGGCTCTAGTGGTAGAGCACAAGCCTTGACCAAAAAGAAGCTCAAGGATAGCACCCAGGCCCCGAGTTCAAGCCCCAGGACTGGCACCAAAAATAAATTTAAAAAGTAACCTTTGCAAATTTCTATCTGCAGCCTTAATTGTTCCCTTGGGATCTATACTTTTTTTTTTTTTTAGTTTACTTTTCCTAAATATTTCCTCCCAGATGTTTAGTAGGTATCTTTGTGTGTGTGTGTGTGTGTGTGTGTCTGTGTGTGTCTGTGTGTGTGTGTGTGTGTAAGGCTTGAACTCAGGGCCGGGGTGCTGTCCCTTAGCTTTTTTGTTCAAAGGGAATAACTATCAATATTGCAAAAGCACGTATCCTTTGGTCTAACAATTATCCTTTTAATTCTATCCTTCCTATAAATTTACACAGTTGTAAAATGATACATGGATAAAGTAATTCACAATAGCATTTTTTGCATCCCAGAAAACAGCCCAAAGATCCAACAATAGCAGAACAGTTAAAGAAATCGTAGTCTATTCATACAATATCATCTTCCACAGTCACAAAAAGGACTAAGGAGAGTTCTGTGCCCTGATACAAGCTCTCAGACATGTTCTCAGAGAAAAAGAATAGGACTGATGAATGTGTTTAGAATGTGAGAATAAAGAGAAACGTACACAAATACTATACCAAGGCCAGATGTTGTAGGGCATGCCTCTAATGCTAGCACTGGAAAGGCTGAAGCAGAAGGGTCACAGGTTTGAGGCTAGCCTGGATTACACAGTAAGACTGTCTCAAAAAGTGGGGGCATACTGTCTATCTATAGTTTCTTGAATGGGCACAGAATATTTCAGGACCCAAACATAAAAAAACTGCAAACAATGGGTGCTTATCTTATTTGGAGGGAAATAAGTGGTGGATGGAAGCAGAGGAGGAAAACATTTCCTGTCAGTCCTTTTAAAGATCTTGACTTTTTTGCATCTTGTGAATGTTTTCTCTGTTAAAAGGAGAATAAGGTACTGTTTATGTTCCCATATGGAACCATCTTGAAGGTATATTGTTGCCAAAAAAAAAAAAAGGTAAAGTGCAAAAGAGTGTGTACAGCACACGCTACACCATTTCATTACTTATGCTTTTGATCCTTTGGATTTTTGTACTTCCCTACTTACAAGGAAATACTGTTAAAAATTGGTGGTGGGAGGGAGGGGAGAACACATTTTCACAAGCATCATCCTGACAGCCTATGACTGAACGCTGCCAAGAATCCTCCTTGTCTCAGTGAAGTTTTCCAGGAGCTTCTCCTCCCTCAGAGAGGTCAAAACAGCAGTGAGCAGCTGAGACTTGTTCAAGCCAGTCCTCCCCCTTTCTCTACCCCTTCCTCCCACCTATCTTCTACACCACCCCTGGTCTTCAGAGCTCCTTCCTGGTGGCTCACAGTTTCTCCCGTGGCTGACCCCAGCCCACAGCAGTTGTAGGCCTTCCTCCCCCAGCCTGTACCTGTCAATAATGACCGGGTCTGAGGGCGTCTCATTCCGGTTACCACAGCTCTTCCGGTCACAGCACCGACTGAAGGAAAGATAAGGGGTGAGGGAGGGAGGTACAGAAAGAGACTGCTAGTGTGAAGGTGGCCAGGGCAGCCTGAGTTAGGGTATGCAAGTCCTGTCTCTGGATGAGGACACAGGGGCTCACTCCCAGGGGTCTGGGGGACAAAGGCAGGGAGGGTCCTTGCAGACCTCCACAGCTTCCACTGTAGGCTCAGATTGTCCTCAGGAAAGGGCAGACCACGGGCAGAGTCTCTCTCACTGTTTGGGAAACACTGTCTATGCATAGGAAAGAGCTCAAATGATAAGTAGGTAACTCTTTTTTTTTTTTGTCGGTCGTGGGGCTTGAACTCTGGGCCTGGGCGCTGTCCCTCAGCTCTTCAGCTCAAGGCTAGCGCTCTACCACTTGAGCTACAGCGCCACTTCCGGTTTTCTGGTGGTTTATTGGAGATAGGAGTCTCACGGTCTCTCCTGCCCGGGCTGGCTTTGAACCGCGATCCTCAGATCTCAGGCTCCTGAGTAGCTAGGATTACAGGCGTGAGCCACCAGCGCCCGGCTTGTAGGTAACTCTTGAATAGCAAAGTATCCTGCCCATGTCTTCAGCACACCACACGACCACCACCCCAGGAGCCCCTCAGGCTCATCCTCTCTCCCCAAAGCTGGCTACCTTCCCAACCACAGGTTTCTAAACCCGGTCTCCTTCCACCTATCAGGAGCTGCCTCTGGGGGTCTGTGCTGTGTGACTGGCTGGACAGCTGGAGCCCTTGTAGGAAAAGCCAGGCTTGGGGTCCTGGAGAAGAGGGAGTCAAGAGGGACCACTCCATCCTGACCCTGCCCTCCAGAGACCTGCTCTCCAGAGATCTGCCCTCAGGTGCCCTCCTCCCCGTAGCTCTAAGCTAATGGGGAGGGGGAGGGGCTTCTGGCTGGCTGGCTCAGGCCCTCCCTCCACCCGCCCCCTCAGTGAACCCTTCCCCAGAGCTTTATTATAGTTAAGCTTCCAGTAACCACAGGAGGCTTGTCTTACAAAAACACATAAACAGGCCAGGCTAATGGGGCCTCAAGGACCCTCTCCTCCATCAGCTCTGTGCCCAGGGATCTCACGCTTTCCTCACTCCTCCCCGCCCCAATCTTCTCCGGGGAGCAGGGGCAGGGCCCAGAGGAGGCTTCAGCCACATCTTCACAAAGGAACAGGCAGGGGTGATGGGGCTCACCTGCACATGATCTCGTGGGTGAGGAGAACTCGGCACATTTCAGGGTTCTTGTCCTGCCCCTCGTAGATGATGGCCTGGGGGAGGGGGAGGTGCTCAGGGTGGAGGGGAGGAGGCTCCTCTCAGGTCTAGGTGGCACACGGAGGTGCACCTGTGTCTACATACCCCAGACTGAGGCCCTGCCCCCACAGAAGGTCATGCCCGCTGCCTTGTTCCTGGAGAGCCCAGGAGTGCAAAGCAGGAGTTTGGAGCCTGATTGCCCAGAAAGAGGAGAACTCCCTTCCCCCAAACCAGGAACACCACCAAGATGGCAACACAGCAGAAGGTCTGCAGTTGAGTCTGTCTGCAAGTAGCTGTTTCTAGGCTTGGGGCCTGCAGAGACTCCACACCATTAGGATCAAGGCCAGTGGGGCTGATATGCTTCTCTCCCCACACGGTATCATGCTCCTCCTTCCGCTAGCATCCTCTGTGCTGATCCTAGTGAGCCTCTGTCTCTGTCACCAGTGTATGTCTAATCAAATGCAAGGGCCATACAACCCCTTCTTCCTGCCTCCCCTTCAGCTCCCAGCCCAGGCCTGTCACTTCCTTGGACTGTTGGATCCCCTACTCTCCAATCTCCTAGCCCCTCCCTCCCCTGAGCAAAAAAATGAGCTTCCACAACTGCTTTCTCTGGGCCTCCCAATTTTCTTCCTCCATTTGTGGAATCCTTTTTACTCTGGGCTTCTTCCACAATCATGCTTCTACTTGTCCTGCCTTCCTTACCACCGTGACCTTGGGCTTTCTGGAGACGAAATATTTCTTCCTCTGCAGTGGGTTGGATGGAGGCTGCTAGAAGCCTCTGTCTGTTCAGGAATGCTCAAGTTTCTGCCTTATATTCCAGGACCACTGATCAGGCCCATTTAAACGCAACACCTTCCTGATTAGCCTGTGTAATGTTTCTGCAAATCTAGAGACTTGGACAGGCCTTGCAGAATCCTTCAGAGCTAATGGAGGTTTCTGTTTCCAAGCTATTTATGCAGGCTCCTGAGCCTGCTTTCTGTGACTGTCACATCAGCCAGGTTCTGAGAGTCTACAATGTTAGCTCTTGGGCCAGCACCTAGATAGAGCCCTTTACTGAACCTATGTCTTTCCCCTACTGTGGTTTGCATTGGTAGCAGAGGGCCTTCACTTGAGAATTGTTCTCAGGGGATGGAAACTTCCTCTTCGGTACACACTCCCCTTAGGAGTGGCCCCTCACTGATAACTGACTCATCCAGAGTGTAAAAAACCTGGCCTCCTCACTTCACTGGCCAACTCTGGCTCCTTCTCTAGAGCTCCCTGAGGATCAGGCTGAGGCTGGAGTCTACCGTAGACTGCCTGTTTGCTGAGCATCTTCCTGCCCAGCTCCCCTGACTCTCCTTTCTCCTAAGGAGCTCACTCTCCTATTGCTCCAATAAATTACATGCACCTAAATTCCTATCATAGGCTAGCCTGCTTAAGGACATATGGCCTATGCTGGTGTCTTTTACAAATACTGTCTTTTTTAGACTAGCAGGCAAGAGTAACAACCCTACTGCAATAGCTGGAAGAGGTAGGCTAGGAGGGTAGAGAGGTACTGGGGAGTTAGGATAGGGGTGAGAATGTTCACTGGGAATGACAGGATATGGTTGAAAAGAGAGTGAAGTAGGCCTAAGCATCCACTGGGCTGGCTTACCTGCTTGGACATGGAGTCAATGAGACGCACGTAGAGGTCTTGTTCTGTCCGAAGTCCTGGGGTGGGAAGGTGGAGAGATCTTGCTGTCAGGGCAGCACCTGCGCCTTCAGGTGATCAGTCCACCCCCACCCCTTCCCCAGCCCTGGTGAGGAGCATCCTGTGTGTCACAGTGCTGCAGTAGCCAGACATCTTCTGGGTCTAGGTCAAGAAGGGACAGCAGCCTTCACTTACCATTGTTATATACCAGCCGTAGGCGGTAATGGATTCCATTGTTTGTCTTTTCTGTCCCTGGCTCCTGTAGAGACAAGACAGGATGCCCAGGTGTTCAGAGACACTCCAACCTCCTTCACCCATACCCTTCTCTCTAACCCTGCTATCTTTCCCTCCCTTCCAGTCTTTCACCCACCCTTTACCATTCATGATCTATCCACTTATCTGCCCCAGTATGTGTGTGTGGGGGGGGGGGAGGGGTGTCCCTAAAGCCCTCCCATTCTCATCCCAGTGCAGGTCCCAGAGGAGCCCATGAGCCTCTCACACGGTCCTTTTCCACGAAGTCGATGAAGGCTGTGCGTTCCACCTCCACGGGCTGCCCCTGCCGGTCATACATGGCCAGCACAAAGTGGAAGAAGTTGGATTTCCTGAGGTTGGAAGGGGGCTGCTTCTCAAAGTGTGCTCGTGCCAGGCCCACACCACTGCAGGAAGAAAGGAACTGGAAAACCACTGGAAGGATCTTTTACTGAGAAAGACCCCAGAATTTCTGGCCAGCTAGGTGGGCTGGCTAGGCCTGGGCTCCAACATGTCATGAGTGTGGGTCAAAAAAAAAAAAAAATTGGATGGGATTTTTACCCTAACCAGGACCAACTCCATTCCAGAAAGACCCTTCTGGCACTGAGATCACCCCAACCCGCCCTTTGGGAACAAGGGCACAGCAGATGCTGTATGAAGGCATCCTGTCAGGCTCTACTGCCAGTTCCTTGGGTTCCACATTTTGAGATGCCAATTGTCAATTTTTTTTTTTTTGGTGGTGGGGCTTGAACTCTTGGCTTAGGCGCTATCCTTGCACTCTTCAGCTCAAGGCGAGCGCTCTACCACTTGAGCCATAGCACCACTTCTGGTTTTCTAGTGGTTAATTGGAGATAAGAGTCTCATGGACTTTTCTGCCCGGGCTGGCTTTGAACCATGATCCTCAGATCTCAGCCTCCTCAGTAGCTAGGATTACAAGTGTGAGCCACCGGTGCCAGGCCAATTGTCAAAATTAAGTTACAAACCAACCCATCTTGGCCAGAGGTCCCTGAGCTCACCTGTTACAGCATTAGAGAATAGCTGGGAGGTTCTGGAACATATTTCCCACTGAATGCCAGTTGATGGCTGAGGCTTGTGGCATTGTCTGGGAAGTGATGATGTCCATTAAACTATCAGAGATATTAAACTGGCTCCAGGTTGTAAGTCTGCCTGACCAAAACCCTAGGCTATGGCTGAATATGTGGAACAGCCCCCCAGGTGTAGAGGACTTGCCTCCAACTTTGAGAAAGACAACCATGGTTCCTTTGGCAAGAGGACTTTTCAGTCTGGCCCAAGGCTTTCTTCAATCAGAAACCATGCATGGAACCAAGGCCAGGGAAAAAACTGAAAGGGAACAAGGCTCCATGTACTAGGTCTCTACTGAACTGCAAGTGGTGTGTCATCTCTGGACACACACAACAAATTGGGCCAGAGTTAAATGAGTTGAAGGGGAGGAAATTCACAGAGAGAAAGCCAGGACACAAGACAGAGTGGTAGAGGCCTTCCCCACTCCCCCTGAAAGATGTCACCAGGTTAGGGAAAAAACAAAACAAAACAAAAAACAACTAGCTGGCGCCTGTGGCTCACGCCTGTAATCCAAGATACTCTAGAGACTAAGATCTGAGGATCACAGTTGGAAGCCATCCCAGTCAGGAAAGTGCATGAGACTCATCTTTAATTAACCACCAAAAAGCCAGAAGTGGAAGTGTGGCTCAAGTTGGTAGAGCACTAGCCTTGAGTGGAAAAAGCTAAGGGACAGTATCCAAGACTTGAGTTCAAGCCCCAGTACAAGCACACACACACACACACACACACACACACACACACACACACACACACACACACACACACACACTATAAAGAAGTAGGGATAGCCAGGCGCTGGTGCCTCACGCCTGTAATCTTAGCTACTCAGGAGGCTGAGATCTGAGGACCATGGTTCAAAGCCAGCCCAGACAGGAAAATCTGTGAGACTCTGATCACCAAAACAGGAAATGATGTTGTGGCTCAAGTGGTAGAGCACTAGCCTTGAGCTGAAGAGCTGAGGGACAGCCGAGGGACAGGCCCAGAGTTCAAGCCCCACAACCACACACAAAAAAAGAAGAAGAAGAAGGAGGAGGAGGAGAAGGAGGAAGAGGAGGAGGAGGAGGAGGAGGAGGAGGAGGAGGAGGAGGAGGAGGAGGAGGAGGAGGAGGAGGAGGAGGAGGAGGAGGAGGAGGAGGAGGAGGAGGAGGAGGAGGAGGGGAGAAAGAAAACAGTATCTTGTGAAACATAAGGGGCACTCCATTGTGACAATAGCTGTCAAATTCATTGCTACTTCACTTTTTTTCTCTATATCATTTATTATTTTTTTTCTCTGTATAATTTAAAATCAATTTATTCTTTGCCTTGGCTTCATGCTAAGCTGTAGTATCTACAGTGTCACGAACATGAGGGATTTACAATGTCCCTCCCTGGAACAGGGGCCATTAAAATACTGACTTAGGAGGCAGAAGTGACCGGTCTTTGCCTCACTATTCAGGTAAGGGGGAGCGGCCACCTGCAGCACCCCTCCTCTTTAAAGATTCAACCCCCCCCAATCCCTCCCACCACCAGGCTACAGTCTTTCAAGTAGAGGCCTTGACCAACCCTCCACTCCCTTCCCTAACCAGCTGAGAGGCAGGGAAGCCCAAAGAGGGCTTTTGATCACAGCAGGTCCCTGATTACTGTTGATGAATATGCTAATAAGGCACCAACCCTGAACTCCTCCCTCCTTCTCCCACAGCCAGCTTAGCTTAAACTTGACCAGAAACTGGTTCCAGGACCACCTTAGTGGCAGGGAAGGCTAGAGAGGTGTGACCTTGTAAAGCAATCTCAGATCACCAATGCCCTTTTTTTTTTTGTCATTCTGAAGAGCCTGGGAGGTTTTCAGTCAACTCAGGAGAGTTGAGAGAGAAAAGCCTTGGCAGAAGAGGGAGGATGCTGAGAAAACAAAATCCCCTGGACCACTCAGCTTATTCTTTCTACCCTTGCACTGCCAGGCCAAATCCTAAACTGGTGGTGATGCTGGCCTGAGCTTTTTCTCCCATGTGGCCCCTCTCCATTGGCAAATGTCAGGCAAGTTGGGGTCCTGGCTGGACCTAGCAGAAACTCTGGTTCCTGCTAGCCTGTTGAGTTCAGATCTGGGAAGTCTAGTCTAACACTGAAGCCAAACTTCCTTTGCTGGGCCTCCCTATGTGAGGAGGTGAGAGTAGGGGAGAAAACTGGTTCCCCTGGGGTCCTGTGACCAGGTATCTGATGCTGAGTGGGAACACAGGCAGGCAGGGGCCCTGTCACACGCCCTGCCAGCTACCTCCACAGCTCCACCCTCCCTGAGGCAACCTAGAACATTATCCTGCTCCTCTCTCCTACCCTGTACTGCTCAGTGGATAGGAGACACAATCACCATCCTGGACTTACACACATTCATAGGACAGCAATGTCTAGTTTACATCACTGAGACAGGCCAAACACAAAACAATATTAATGATAGCCCCTTCAGAGCAGGAGGCCTGCATGCAGAATGGGCAAGACCTCCTCTGAACACATGGGCTGCTCCTTGCTCCAGGCCTGGGAACATCTCCTGTTGATCTGATGCTTATCCTTGCTGGACATGTGAAGAAATCAAAATCTTTACAGAGTTTGCTCTAAAGACATTCTAGTATTTCCTGTGGACAAGTCACAGAGTGACACAAGGAACAGCCTAAGGGAAGGAAAAGGAAGCAAGGGAAGATAGAGGCAGGCTAGACCATGCCTTCCTTCTCTGATTGCCCCAAGGTTCCTGAATCTCCAACCACAGTAGGTGATGTCAACACCTGTTGAATGGAACTTCAAGCCTCTTTTTCCTTTGGGAGCAGCTGATGCTCTGGTAATAAGAAAAGAAAACAAAGGATGGAGAGAAAGAGATGTACTCAAATGACTTAGGAGATATCCAGTGGTTTGAGTTCTGATGGGCACATCATGAGCACAGGTGTGTGGGGATACACACCTGTGAGAAGTGAGAAGTGAGGAGCTTGCTGTCTGCTCCCAGACTAGCTTAGAGAGAAGGCTGTGGATAAAGGCCAATGTCTTTGGTTCTGTAGTATCCAAGGTAGAAACTATCCAAGACCACCATTGGAGTGTGTGTGTGGGGGGGGTATCTCCAAGATGTCTAGTAATATGTGTTCTTTATTCTTTATCAAAGATAAAGAAGAGAAGCTAACTGAGCAGAAAAGTCTGTGAGACTCATTTCCCATGAACCAGCAAAAAAGATGGAAATGGAGGTAGGGTTCAAGTGGAAAAGTGCCAACCTTAAGCAAAAAGGCCAAGTAAGGACAAGAAGCCCTGAGTCTGAGCCCCAATATTGGCACTGAACAAACAAATTTAGAGTAGAGAGGAAAAAGAGAATCAAGCCAGCCCCTTCCTCCTACAGCTGGGAGAGCAAGTGTTTCTTCTAGGTTCCCCGAGAAGAAGGTTCTGAGACAAAGATTCAAATACCAACAGTTTATTTGGGCAGTGATTCCAGGAAAAGGGATCGGGGAAGACAAAGACAGAGACTATCAAGGGTGCATTTTCAAAGTGCTCTTGTTGGGACAAACTATGCTCAATCCCCCGAGGAACTCTGGAGAGATATAGAATGAAAGTCTCACCAGAGGGGCAGGAGTCTCATGACTCCAGTCTGTCCCCACCAGTTCTATGGTGGCTATTTCTCCAGCACTTCTGGCTCCCCAAACTTCCAACAGCCAGAGAGCATATGGGCAGAGCAAGCTGTGACCTCTTCAACAAGCCCTACAGCAATGGCAAGCAGATTCTTTAATAAAGGTCCTGGAGGAACATGGATTGGGTTCCAACTTACTAGCCCCCCCACCTCGCCCCCACCTGGGCTATGAGGAGGAAGCCAGCCAAGCTACAGCCCCAAGGGCCTGAGTACTGCTTGGCTGATCCAAGTTGTAACAACTGTGAATGAGCATTGGCCCACCCAGCATACGTATTGCTGGAGCCCATAATTCAGAGACATTTCATTCACTTAGCATCATTAGGAAACAAAGCATACCACATAAGCGCCTTTTTTAAAAAAGATAAATGCATCTGAGTGACAAAAACAGCCACATTAACCACTTTCGTAAGCCTCCAAAATTGAATTACACATTTCCTTACTTTCTTGAAAAGATTGATTTAGACACAATGTTCAAAATGCTTTCCTCTCAACTCTAGAGGATGTTGAGTAGTATGGAGGGGTTGTACAAGTACTACAAAACCCAAAATTGGGATGGAAAAAAAATTCACTTTTGTATTTCTACTGTGCTCCACTTGCCCCCTTCCCATTTTCTGTCCTCAGATAAACCAGGAGTCTGTGACTCCAGAAATTGTTTTCTGCACACATTTTTGTTGTTGTTGTTGAAAGGAAACCTGACCTGTTTCAAGCATAGATGTGCCCAGGCTTCCTGAGCACTGTGCTGGGAGTCCAGGGTCAGTGGACCCCAAGGATCGCCATGCAGACTGTTTCTACTTCAGAGTACACAGGGATGTATCTGGGGCTATAGTGGGGACTACACTGTCTGGCTGTTATTGTTGACACTGCCCAGCAGGTCCCTGGAGATGCCCCACAGCTCTTTTCCTGGCAATCTGAGTCTGCCAAGGCTCTCTAGCACAAAGTCTTCCTTGCATCTCTGTTCTCTATTCCTATGTCACACAAATCCTTCATCACATGCGTGCTATAGATATAAACAATTTAATAACAACCATGCCAGCCCCTCACCCTCTTCCTGAGGACAAGGTATTCTGGAGCCTCTGCCTTTCCTTCTTCACACCAAATCATTTTCCCTACCCCTATACCAGGGCTTGAACTCAGTCCTCAAAATAGTTCCAGATGCTTGCTTGGCTGGTATTCTACTACTTGTGCCATACCTCCAGCCAGGCTCTTTTCTATTTCTTTTGATTTTGTTTTGTTTTTTTGTGGGGTCATGGGGCCTGAACTCTGGGCCTGGGCGCTGTCCCTCAGCTCTTCAGCTCAAGGGTAGCGCTCTACCACTTGAGCCACAGGGCCACTTCCAGCTTTTTTCTTTTTGCTTATGTGGTGCTGAGGAATCGAACGCAGGGCCTCAGGCATGCAAGGCCAGCACTCTACCACTGAGCCACCTTCCCAGCCTCTCTATTTCTTTTGAGATGGAGGCTTGGAGATGTTTCTACTAAGGCTGGCTTCAAACTGTAACTCTGCCTCTTGAGTAGCTAGATGTGAGCTTCCAGTGCCAGCTTCCCACCAAATCTTAACTCTTGCCCATTTTGATAAGCCCAAGTTTCTGAGAAGCACTTTGATTCATTTTCAAGTGTGAATGCCCAGGTAAGGGCATAAGCCATTGCTGAAGCCATCACCCCCTCTATCAGGAGGCAAAAGGAGAGAGAGAGAGAAAAAAAAAAAAAACACCTCCTACATCTCATCCCAGGTCTTCGTTTCCCCCAATGTCTCTCTGCACTAAATCTAGCCTCTCTCCCTGACACTCTGGCATGGTTTCATAAGTCCCTTGTTCCATTCTTCCACATCCTCCATCTCTCTACGCATCCTATTTGTGCCTACACTGGCCCACAGGCATTCTCTGGGCCCTTGGGACTGTTGATGATCATCACACTGGACCTGGCATTTCTGCTCCCAGCCACCATCTATTGGCTTGGTCCTGACTAGTCCCTTATATGTCCAGCCAGTGTCTGGTTGTGTCACCAACTAGAGAAAATCAAGTCAGTAGCACACCCATCCCAACCATGCAGGTAGAGAAGTGAGGAGGGCCAGGTGGCTAGAGGCAGCTGCACAGCACCTGTATGCACAAGGTTCTAATGACAGAAGAGGACTGGGGTACAGAGGCTCCAGGTACCCTGTTTCTACTTCCCAGTATCTGTCCCAGGCTCAGTGGCCCAGGTCTTGTAGGCTATAGGGTGGGAGAAAGAAAGAGGATTACTAGCTTGGTCTTCTCTCCCTCAGTTCTACCTCCAGACTGCCTAACCCCCTCCCATTTCTCTTCTGCCCACCCTCTTACCACCTACCCGCAGACCAGGCTGCCAGGTCCCAGGCTGAGGAGCGGCTGGCTATCAATTATTAAAGCAAACAAAAGCATTTCCTAGCAGGGAGACTGGCCTGTAGCAGCTTACAGGAAAGGCAGCCCCAGCTGGCTTCCCTCTCCCGGGCCCTGCTTGTGTGCTGTGACTAGCTCATGGGAAAAGGCTGGCCAGGGATTCTCTGGGGGTCTCCTGCAGGGAAAGGCCTGGCCTGGGCCTGCTAGAGGTCTCAGTCTGGGAAGCACATCGGGAGAAGACAGCTCCACTGAGCTGAGCCCTTAGCAGCACTTGGGACTGCAAGGGAGGCTGGGGAGTGGATCGGGACTGTGCCTCTGGGTCTTAGAGATAAAGTCCTATTGGTTCAGGGAAGGAGCAGTCAGAACAGTGACTAGGGATCCTTGTGCAGGCTTTGCTGGTAGGGAGACCCTGACAGGGAGATGGAAGCCCTTGCCACCAGCCTTCCTTTCTCTGGTGGACAGGGAGAAGAACCCTCTTCTCTCCTAGCTTCTTGCTCAGAACCTTTCTTTCTCTTGGCAATCCTCCCACTCCCAGTTTAACCAAGCCTTCTGAGCCTTTTCCTCCTTACCTGCCTTCTGTTAAACCCTGGCATTTATGAAAAGGCTAAGTTGTAAGATTGGGGGGAGATAGCTGCTTTGGTGCCTGGTTCTTGGTGCTTACCAAGGTAAAGATGGGGAAGCCAAAGGGAATGGATACCCAGAACTGCCTGAGTGTGTCCTGTGTGCTGTGGACACTGGGATGAATAGACTGCTATCTGTGCTCTGCAGGAAGATGGGAATGGGCGGAGGCGGGGCAGAGCCTGCTCTGTGGTAATCATTCTTAGGCAGTACTAAGCAGGTAGAGAGCACAGATAGAGCAGGTGCTATGGCGGAGTGGGGGTCTTGAAGGCTGCTAAGATTTTGTTCAGTGGACATGTGGGTGCTGAGGGCAGGGGGAGTGATTAAAGCTAGGACTTACTGGCAGTCCTGCTGATTCTCCTACACCGAAGGCCACATCTACAGAAGCTGAGAACGAAGGTTGGCATCAGATTGTGATAAGCATTGAATGGTGACTGTCCAGGAAGAAGTGGGGCAGACAGAGACTACCGACTCTGCTTATGGTAAACATCCTTAGGCAGCTATGCACAGTTTCTTGAGGCAGTATGGGGACACAGAGAGAGCAGAGGCTTGGGGGTCACTTTCAGTTTAATCAGGGCAGAGATATGATCAGAGAAAAGTACTTTGGAAATTTGGCTTTGATCCATAGTGCAAAGAAGATGGTTTGGGGGAGGGGTGAAAAGCTGGAGTGGGGGCACTAAGCCAGGAGGCTGAGGTCGGAAACCAAGACACAGTCATCCTTCCAGCTATGAAGGAATGAGCACCAAGACTGGGTCTAGGGCACCTTTAACCAGGTGGCCAAGGGATGAAGGCAAGGAAGACAGCAAAGGCAACTCTGTTCCAAGAAGAACAGGAGAATGAAGTCAGGGAGGTGTAGGACAGAGATGCTCCTTTTGCAGTTTGGTAATGGGAAGATGTGAGTAAATGACTAGCTAAAGAAGGTTCAAATGGGAGGGATGACAGTGTGGGGAAACATGAGGAGTAATGAGGAGCTTTTCCTCTCTGGAAGCCAGGAAGATAAATGATCAAACATATGGCGGCTCCCAGTCTGGGCCTTGAGATAGAGAAAGTTCCTGGACTTGGAGACAAACAGTCGTAGCCTGAAGAAATCTCCCTAGTAAAACTACAATCTCCTGGGAGTTCCAGTGAGGCAGCTCTGGAGATCGGGTCCCTACAGACAACACTGTTGGTAGTGCAGTCCTAGATGGGGGAGGGGGCCACAGCCTCATCCCCAAAAGCTTCCTGCACCCCACCTGGGCCACAGGGCACCACCTCTTTCACACTCTCATCCAACCTGCTGGTTCTGGGCAGGCACAGAGGGAAAAGGTCAGAGAGAAAAGGGAACATTCAATTTCAGAGACACCACAGCAACTCCTGAGGACCATCTCAAGTTACAGAAAAAGTCAGAACCAACAGGAAAACAGGCATGACACACAGCCTTGTAAACACAACATAGGAAAAAGCCAGCTAATGGGAAGAAAAGAGGGAAGGAGACACAAGAGAACGCAGACAGTAGTTTGTATAAGATGGGTGGGATTTAGTTTTCCACCGTCCAGTTTTTTTTTCTAGAATATAGTTATATCACTCTAAAACTTATGGCCATTCATGCAAGACCCCTTCTTGTCCAGGAGGACTCAGCTCCAGACACTCCCCAGGGCTCCCTCCTGATGGTCATGAAAAGACAAGCTGGCAGAAACAGTTTCAGTGGCGCATGAAGGACCCCGGGTGTCTGTTAACTGGGTGAGGTTGGTGAGCACGATCAGTGGTATCCCTGGACAGGACTGGGTAGTTAGACGTGCCAGACCTAGTCTACCCTGATAGCTCCTATGAATCCCTTCAAGCTGCTGGACAGCAGTGGCAGACTTTCCGGAAGCCCAGTGCCTACTCTGCCCCAGCAGACTCCGCCCCTCCCTAAAGCCAGTCACACCGAAGTCCCCATAATGTCTAACCTCCCTACTCTCAAGGCGAGGCTATAAAAAGCTCCAGGTCCCAAGCTCAGTAGGGGCTAAAGTCCATTAACCTTTCAAATTCCCATCCAAATCTCCACCTTGGTCCCGCCTAGAACTCTGAAAAAGCGAGCCAGAAGAGATCCGAAAAGACACCTGTCAGAGAGGCGGAGCCCTAGCCCTTTCCCAACCCGTCAGTCCAGCCACGCCGACTGCCCACTGTCTCTTTACCCTCTTCATCCCCCAGCTGTATCTCTGGACCTGCGTGGGAAAGGAGGGGCGTGGGAAAGGAATAAGGGGGCAGGGTTTCTTGCCTTTCTTGGCAGAAAGCCGTGGAATTGGACAAGCTGAGGAATCGGTACTGCCCAGGAAGGAGGGGTTGGACGTTCCTAGACGGCTGGTAGCTGTGGGTCATGGCTCAGGGTCTGCAGACGGAGGGGATGCTTCCTCCTCCTAAACCCTGGACCGCAGTTGGCGACTGTCAGAAAGCAGAGCCTGAATAGCCCGGAGTGGAGGCAGAAGCCCCGCCCCGGCCCGCCCCAGATGCTCAAGAGACTAGGGCACAGACGCTTGGGACAGGGTGAACTGGAGTGCTCGCCAGGACCGTCCGGAGCTAGGGCTCCCTCTACCCTCCGTTCCAGCACCTCAGCAAAGCTAAGCAAAGGCTCCGAGCGGCTCCGAGCGGTCCGACCCGAGTTCGCGGGCTCCCGTCGAGCGCTTACCTCTGCGCCGCGGTGCTGGAGTCCAGGATGCCGGCGCCCTGCATCCAGGAGCGCACAGAGCCCAGGCCGGCCGGCAGCAGCGGCTCCTCCTTCAGGTTCAGCCCGCCGCGGGGCAGAGCGTCCTGCGCAGGGAACATAAGGACGCGCAGTTGGTGGGCGCCCCCACTGCCCAGGATCGAGTCCCGCCGAGGCTGTGAGTGTCGCAGCTCAGCCGACCCGACGGTACCAGGCGCCTTCCAGGAGCGCAGCGCGGCGCGCGGTCGGGATAGCTCCGTGCGCGCTCGCCTCTGGGGCGCTCCCTCGGAGAAAGCGGGTCCGCGGGCGCCGGCGCTGTCCCCTCCCCTCCTGGGGCGCGGGGCGGGGAGATGGAGGGATTCCCCCGCGGCCTGAGCGCTGGCGGGCGGACTGCGAGCGCGGCGGGGAGGGCGGGGAGCACAGCCCGCACCCGGTCCGCACGGAGGCGCCCCAGAGGCGCGCTCTGGCGGCTGCCCAGGGCCGTGGTCGTCGGAGTCAGAGGGGGGGGCGCTCTAAGCGCCCCAGGAGCTGCCGCGGGCGAGGCGGGGGCGCGGGGCTGCCCGCCCTTTCCCCCCTCACCGCCCCCACCTCCTGCCCGCCCGCGGCGCCGGCGCGGGGCGCTGATTACCATCCGGGAGGCGGAGGCTGCGGGCACAGAGCTCGTCGGCGGCGGCGGCGGCGGCGGCGACAGCGGTGGCAGCGGTGGCAGGAGCAGCAGCAGCCGAGCGTCCCGGGGAAAAGCAGGGGCAGCGCCGAGCCAGCAGACTCCGCCGCCACCGCCGGCGCCCCGAGTGCCCCGGCGCCCCGGCCCTGCCGCAGCCCCGGGCGGCAGCACCTGGAGCAGCAGCAGCAGCAGCCCGGCCGACTCCCCCCGGGGCCCGGTTCCCGCGCCGCCCCGCCGTGGCCGCCGCCGACCGCCGCTGCCCGGGGCCTGGCCGCGGGCCCGGGCCATCCCGCCGCCGCCGCCGCCGCCGCCGCTCCCCGGGGAGCGGGAGCCGTAGGGAGGGAGCGCGGGCGGGAGGAGGGCTGTCGCGAGCGGGCGGGCCCAGGGGACGAGGGGCCGGGGGAGGCGGGGGCGGGGCGGCGCGGCCGGCCGAGGGGCGGCCGGGGACGTGACATCATCGGGGGAGGAGCGGCCGGGCTGGGGCCGCCGCGGCGGGGCGGACCCTGGCGAGTCGGTCGCCGGGGTTGGGGGCGGGGGGGTGGTCTGCGGCCTGCTGGAGGCCGCGCGCGAGAAAAAGAAGGTCCGGCGGGGGACCTGGACGCCGGGCCCTGGACGATCTAGGGCTGCGCGGCCAGGGAGCCCGGCCGAAGCCGAGGGGCGCGTTACACGGCGCCCAGGAATCTCTCCACGGCCTCCCCGTCGCCACCGGACGAAGCTTCAGCCTCTTGGTGGCCCATCTCCCTCCTCCAAGTACGCGCCGCTGTCGCCACGGCTGACGCGCGCACTCGCTGGACTTGCTGCTCTTTTTGACGCTTCTTAGCTCGGCTTTCCCTGTTCGCCTTCCTGTGTGGTCCTCTCCCCGCACCTCCCCCAGCGAACCTGACCTCGGGTGTTATCATCTTGGACTCAAGTCTGTCTGTCTGTCTATCTGTCTGTCTGTCTGTCTGTCTGTCTGTCTGTCTGTCTGTCACGGTCCAGAGCCCAGATCATCTCTTCTTTCTCACCTCCCCTCTCCCGATCTTATTCCTCTTTTATTAGTTCCTGGCACAGAAATCATCTGGCCCATGACTTTGGGGGCAGAGCCATTTCTACCCCTCTCCCAACATTCTGGCCGGGTGTACCTTCACCAGGACAAGCCTAAGTCCACTTTTCCTGCAGAACAGCACGGGGATGGGGTAAATGGGGGGTGACCTGCCCTTGCTGCCGCTGCCATCCCAAGACCCACATCCTCTTTTGGGATTTCCCAAGTGTGCAGTTCGTCTTCTGCCTCGTGTTGACCTAGCTGAAGGATCGCAAGGGGCACTTTTGGGCTACCTACAACCTCAGAAGTATTCCCCCTACCCCTCCTTTTCAGGCATCTTTCCTTTTTATGCTTCATTCCTCACCTTTAGGGGTTGCCATTGCCACTCAGACTTCTCCAGATCTCAGCTTTTACCCCTGGTAGGATTATGGATGGTGGGTCTCTCTCTGGGATGAGGTCTTTCACAATGGCCAGGCCCATCTGTTTAGCTGACTCTGTGGCCCCTGGACCAGAAGCACTAACATTAGCTGGGAGCTTGTGGGAAATGCACATTGTTAGGCCCCACCCAGACCTGTCACATCAGAACCTGCACTTGAATCTTTGAGTTGATTCTGTGCACACATTACCTTTGAGAAGCAGGGCTCTAGAGAACCCTCCAAAGCTGTTCTATACTTGCTAACTTATCTCCCTAGCTTTCACATGTATCCATGGCTCCCTAATTTCCAGTGGGCACCCTGCCTCTTACCTAGTAGTGAGGACACAGCAATCTTGGCTGAAGCCTGCTGACTCTTACACATTTCTCAGTCTCCTCCAGTATTCTCTCCCTTGGTCCCAGAGATGGATGTGGAACCTCTTGCTCAACCCTTTTGAAATGGTCCCAACTGATCCCTGGTTTGGTCTTGGACTCTCTTCTTTTCTCAGATCTCCCTATTGCAAAAACAATGCCCCCAGTTCCTTCTTCAACCCGCACCCCCTCTTCTTTCTGAGGACATTCACAGGAGCTCCCAAGCTTTGCCAGCCCCAGCAAGCTACTTCGGGAGGCTGCAGGCTCTAGCTCCCTTCCAGCCCTGTTTGTTTGTTTGTTTGATTGGTTGGTTGGTTTTTGTCATTCGTGGGGCTTGAACTCTGGGCCTGAGCACTGTCCCTGAGCTCTTTAGCTCAAATGAGCACTCTACCACTTGAGCCACAGTGCCACTTCTGGTTTTCTGGTGGTTGATTGGATATAAGAGTCTCAAGGACTTTCCTGCCCAGGCTGGCTTTGAACTACAATCCTCAGATCTCAGCCTCCTGGGTAGCTAGGATTACAGGAGTGAGCCACTGGCATTCTCCATGGCCTGTCTTAGAGTTCAAGCCATCTGACCAGCATCATCATCTCACCCCACCTCCTCCTCTCATACACCTGGGGAAACTGATCTGAGCAGCAAATTTCCCTTACCCACGGAAAACCCAATCTCCAAACTGCTACCTTCTCCTTTCCTCTCCTCAGAGAATCCACGTGTTCCCCTAGCTCTGGAGCTGGGGAAATTGCTCTCCTAGCATGGGCCTCTGCTCTGTTTCTGTCTGTGCTGTTAAGTTGTAAGAACAGTGTGTGGCCGGGTGAAGAGGCAGAAGAGAAATCTGTCTCCAGGGAGGGTCCCTATCATAAGTGACTCTGCCACTGGGCTATGATGGGGCTGCTTGCTCTCCACAGGCCTAGTCCTTACAACCCGGCACTTCTGTGTGTGCTCCTAACCACTTCCTGACCTGCTGCCCATCTGGTTGGGGCTAAGGAGTCATCTCTGGTATCTTTCCCTCCCTTCAGCCACTTGTTTGTGAGGTCTTAACAACTCTCCCCTCTATGTCCTTTTCCTGCTCAAGTTTTACAGAGATTGTCTGTTTTTCTTTGGTTTGGGGCAGTAATGGGGTTTAAACTCAGGGCCTTACACTTGCTAAGCTAAGATCCCAAGGACTCTACCACCACCTGAGCCATGCCTCTGGCTCACAGAATATCCTTAATAGTGAAACTTCCCCTTCTATGGACTTTGTACTACTTGGTTGTCTCTATAGTCTCCAGCTGTGCAATCTCACCTATATTCTATCTTCAGCCCTCCTGTCACCTTTTAAAAACATTCCTTGAGGGGCTGGGAAGGTGGTAGAGTGCTTGCCTTGCATGCATGAGGCCCTGGGTTCGATTCCTTAGCACCACACAAAAAGCTGTAAGTGGTGCTGTGGCTCAAGTGGTAGGGCACTGGCCTTGAGCTGAAGAGCTGAGGGACAGCACCCAGGCCCAGAGTTCAGGTGCCACGACCAGCCAAAAAAAACCAAAAACATTCCTTGAATGGGGCCATCACTTGCTTAAGAACTGTTCATTGCTTTCTGTAGCTTCCCAAGTAGACAATTAGGGACTCAGTTTAGGAACCTTGTAGGCCCTTTGATGCCTGATCCAATATCTCTCACTAGCCATCTTCCCTCCCTTCCCTTGCTATGCAAATTCCTGGCTTGCCTGACACAAAGAGCTCAATATTGTTCAAACTGAGTTCCCACAATCTCAGCTGTCCCCTCCATCAAGAATGCTGTCCCTTAGGCAACGTTTTTTGTTTTTTTTTTTCTGTCAGGAAACACTGGGATCCCTATGTCATTTCATGGTGTTGCATGGTGGCTCTGGAAAGTTCTCTTCAAGATAGAGTTGAGGATTAAGTGCTCAGAATTAACCTGGCTAGGTGGCATGGGTTGGTTTTTGGTGGTGGTGGTAGGTTTTAGTTGGTATTAGAGCTTGAACTCAGAGCCTAGGTGCTGTCCCTGAGATTTTTTTTTTTCACTGAAGGCTAGCGCTCTTAGCCTTGAGCTGAAGAGCTGAGGGACAGCGCCCAGGCCCAGAGTTCAGGCCCCACGACCGGACCCAAAAAAAAAACAAAAAAAAAGAAGGCTAGCGCTCTACCACTTTGAGCCACAGGCCCATTTCTGGTTTTCTGGTTAATTGGAGATAAGAATCTCATGGACTTTCCTGCCTAGGTTGGCTTCGATTCGTGATCCTCAGACCTCAGCCTCCTGAGTAGCTAGGATAACAGGCATGAGCTACTAGTGTCCAGCTACCATAGGTTGGTTTTTATTCTTTACTAACCCAAGGAATAGAAAAGAGCTAGCCAGGATGGTGTTTGAAGATTCTCAAAACTTGTAGCCCCAGAACTTCTGAGTTAGAGCTGCTGAGCTAAGGAGCCAGCTGAGGAGACCAAACAAACATTCTGTTTCAGTCCTTGGAATCAGAGTTGAGTATGTAAACTCAGTGTCACTCTAGAGTGTAAATAAATAAATACACTGGGTTAAGCTCAGAAGGCTCCATGACTGTGAGGAGAGATGGGCTTCTCAGGAAGACTAGCAGAACTGAATGACTGGGTTTACTGCCCTTGCCTTCAAGGTAAAGGGTGTTAGCACTTGGGACATCAGATTGGCTGGTGCCTGGCCTGACATACTAAGGAACTTGATTTTGTTTCTGTAAGTCTAGGTCTTAAAATAATATTTTATTCAAATTAAAAGAGCACTCTTCCATTGTTATTATTATTATTATTTCCCAATCAAATGCCACTGTCCATCATAGAAAACAGATCCAAAAGTTGTTTTAGGCTGCTTTTGTGTGTTGTACTCTAGCGCCCCCTGGAGGCTTCAGAAAATCAGACACTTGGATCCAATTTTGTTAAGCTCGCCCATGGGAATTTTAAAAAGTGAGACTATAGGAATTAAAGTATGCACTCATCATAGCTATTTCGTAGTTCCATGGAGAACACAATTGCAGAGTGATTTCCTGGAAGCTACAGCCCATCTCAAAGTCTTCCTTTCTGTTGACTCTTGAAATCTTCAATCCTTTCAGGAAAACTCATACCACAAATGTTAGTCTTATCTGAGGATCCATCCCATTCCTGGCACCGAATGATGAATATATAGAAGTTGATTAATTGTGCAAATGAAATTCAGAAGGGAATGGCAGATACTGGCGGTGGAGAAGTGGTAGAGTGTAGGTCAACTACCAAGGGGAGACACAAAA